CAAACTCAATTGCCGAGCTTAAAGTCGAAGTGAAGTGCTAAAAGAGAGAGAGCGATGACAAAACTTTTAAAGTGTTTCCTCTTCGTTTGTGCTTTTTACTTTTTTTGTTTTACATATTTGTTTGTAATGCTAATGCATTCATATTGACGTGCTGACTGACTAGACTTGACAGCCACAAAAAATGTCAATTTTTTAAGTAAAAAACAAAAAAATGTTAAAATTAAAAATTAATTTTTAACCGGGTTTATCGCTTTTTAATGTTTCAGATAATCAACGACTGGCAAATAAGCTAAAAAAAAACAATTAAAAAACAAAAAAGTGGTAAAACCATTGCTAAATTGCTTTTTTGTGTTACAATTCAGTTTATTTTATGGCACAGCTGGCAACAACGTTTGTCAAACTCGTAATAAAGACTTATCTTTCTAGTCGAATACAATTACTTTTTATTTTAATTAAAAAGCTCACAGCTACCTCATCAATTGTAGTTTTAGTGTAGATGAAATTAAATTAATCTACCCACAACTGTGAACCGGTGGAGATGGTAGCCTCACTTGTCACAGATAGTTGTAATTAAAAGCGGTTGAAGCGGAGAAAGCCAATCCTCTCTCTTGCTCTTTTCACTTTCTCACTCCTTGTCACACTTGATCCACTCGCTCATTTTTCTTCCTCTTTTTTCTTCTATCCCACTTGTTCCCACTGCCTCAGCAGATCTGGCCAACTTCACATCGACTTTCACTTTGCCTCTTTCACTCTCAGCTGACCAAGCAATTAATTTAATTGCTTAATTGCAGAAAACTGCAGCAGACTGTAACCGCATTGAACGTTGCTGAACACAGTGACTAATAATAAAAGCGGACGCCTTCTGTCACAGTTACTTTTCCAATCTATCTATCTATCAATCAGCAATGAAGCTGTGAACGGATGCAGAAGAGGGCTGTGCAGCAGGCCACCACCACATCACCACAGCACTAAGCCACCGACAGCAGTGTCGACAATTGACGGAGAAGCACCGAATCTTCCTCTTTCTCCTCTTGCGGCTAATTCAGTGGATTCTCGCTAAATTAATTTTCTCATCTACAAAAACGAAAAAAAGAAGCGAGCTTTACTTCCATTGTTTCCTGCCTGCCATTCGTTTACCCTCTCATTAAATAGCCGTCAGCCGAACGCCCCAGCACCGCAGCAAAGCACACTGAATCACTCACAAATTGCAAATGGAGTCTAATAATAACTACAATGCCAATAACGGTCTTGACGACAAGATGGACTATGAAAGTGGCGGAGGAGGTGGTGGAGGAGGAGGTGGGGGCAGAGAGCAAAGGGCGAAAAAGTGTCCAGTGCAGTTGCTCTTCCTCTTTGCCAGTGCCATCATTGCGTTGATGCTCTTTATACTGCTCCTCTCACAGGGTAAGTGCATTAGATGTTTCGATAACCTAGTAAATCCACAACTCATCACATTAGGCGTGCCATGGAGCAACTTTGAGATGTTCTGCCTGTCCATCGTCACCATCGTCCTCATCGGCAGCATCGTCGGCCTCATCATCGGCACCATTCGCACGTACTGCTGGAAGACCTCCATCAGCACCAATCCGACGCCGATCACGCTGTACACTAATCCGCCGCCGATTGGCAGCGCAGAGGCGGAGTTCCAGAACGAGTACATTCCCGTCTTTCCCATGCGACAGCTGAAACCACGCGAGAACCTCGACATTGGCGCCCTCTGACTGATGGAGAAGGCCGAGTGGAGGATGCAGCGACAGCAGTCTCAGGACTGGGGTGACACTTCGGCTGCACAACATCACCACCATCATCAACAGCAGCAGCAACATCAACATCAACAGCAACAGCAGCAGCATCAACAGCAGCAGCAATCCCAGCAACAATCGAATCAGCATCACAACCATCCTCAGTCTCTGTCGCACTACCCATCTCAGACAATGACCACAAACACCCCCTCCTCCACTAGCACGACAACCGGCCANCATCTCAGACAATGACCACAAACACCCCCTCCTCCACTAGCACGACAACCGGCCACTATCACCCCTCAACCTCGCAACAGCCCAATCACTCGCACAACCACAGCCAGACACAGCAGCAGCATCAACAATCGAATCAGCATCACAACCATCCTCAGTCTCTGTCGCACTACCCATCTCAGACAATGACCACAAACACCCCCTCCTCCACTAGCACGACAACCGGCCACTATCACCCCTCAACCTCGCAACAGCCCAATCACTCGCACAACCACAGCCAGACACAGCAGCAGCATCAACAATCGAATCAGCATCACAACCATCCTCAGTCTCTGTCGCACTACCCATCTCAGACAATGACCACAAACACCCCCTCCTCCACTAGCACGACAACCGGCCACTATCACCCCTCAACCTCGCAACAGCCCAATCACTCGCACAACCACAGCCAGACACAGCAGCAGCATCATCAGCAGCGCACCTCAATCAGCGGTGAGCACAGCCAATTCCACCGACCGATAGACACATCACCCCCTCCACCGCCCCACTACTATCACAACCACCAGCATTCATGAACCGTTGTCGATTCCATTTGCAAACGAAAACTTTTTCTTCTTTTTTTTTATTTATCAAACCGCAAAAAAAGGTTATTCTCATTGGTAATTTTTCTTTCTTCCCCAACCCCTTTCACCTGTTTTTGTTGTCGAATTCTGATCTTTTTTTGTTTTTCTCAAAGCCATTGCTTTTTTTTGCTGTACAGTCACCGTTTTCATCATCTTCATCATCTTTTTGACTCACAATCTCACACTCACACTCCCCCTTACTGAAAATCACGA